GGGTGTAGGGAGGGGGCCTGTGGCGTCTGTCTGCTGCTTCTTGGGATGCTGGGAGAAGACCTGCTTCTGGGATTCAGGGCTGGGTGAGGGCTTAAGATACTTGTCTTCAGGACTCCCCTGGAGTCTCTCTTTATCCTGCCAGTGGGTCCTTGGGCCCCTGACCCTCAGGCTGTTTTTTCTTAGGATTTTTGGCTTATAATGTCAAACGTATACCTGGACCCGCCTGATTTATACCTTAGACACCCCCTAAGTTTACATCCCATGACATACTTCTGATCCCTCTTGATGTAAAATTGATACCTCTCTGTAGTCACAAGGCTCCCCGAGCATCAACCCACCTGTAACCCTTCTGACACTTCATGCCTTCTACCTTTCTCAGCTTGCCTCCAACCTCTGTGGCCATATACCTGTCTGAGATCTTGATTCCCTGAATGCATCTCCCTGTACCTTCTAGACTGTGAGCCCAGAAAGCTGGGTGGATAGAACCCTGGGCCTCCCTGCGCCCTCCTTACCCCCAAGCCCCATGCTAGGTACTGCATACAGAATTCAAGGGATGGGTGACATAGGGGGTAGGGAGGGGTCTGGCCTTCTGGCTCACAGTCTAATGCCCTCCCCACCACCTCCCGGATTTTTGTGTTGCTCTCTGCATGCATTTTCTGTGTGTGATTGTGCATCTTGAGTTGTGGTTTTCTTACCGTTTTTTTTTTCCTTTTCTTTTCTCCATTTTGTTTTTCTTTTTTCTTTATTACGTCCGTCCGTCCATCCATCCTCCTTCTCTACATCTTCCCACCCCTCCTGACCCACCGTCTCCCCTGCCCCCGCCGGTAGCCACACCCCCCTCCCCTCTCCCCCCTGGGGGGCCCCCTGTCCTCGGCATTGCCTAACGGACCCCCATCCCCCCGCTCCGGCCTCGACCCCTTGGCCATACTGAGTGAGATCAGTAAGTCAGTCAAACCGCGGCTAGCATCCTTCCGCAGCCTTCGAGGCAGCCGTGGGGTAAGTGAGGCCTCCGGGGGAGGAGGGGGCAGCCCAGCCCGCCCAGTGCTGGGTGGCGGGACCCTGGGCTCGCTTCCTGCTGCGGGCTGGGCCCCCTCCTCCGGTTGCCAGACCCGGACCTGCTTTGCTCTGTGCATGGCCTTGCCCCCCAAGAACCTTGGGTGGGGAGGAAGGTGGACTTGGTATGTCTTCGCACTGTCTTAGAGCCTGGAAGCTGAGAATCCCTGATCCCAAACTCAGTCTTCTTCCCACCCTGCAGACAGTGGTGACGGAGGATTTCAGCCACTTGCCCCCAGAACAACAGAGAAAACGGCTTCAGCAGCAGCTGGAAGAACGGAATCGTGAGCTCCAGAAGGAGGTTGACCAGAGGTAGGGTTGGGGACAGGCAGGGAACAAAATAAAAGAATAACCAAATTCTACTGAAATGGTAGTCCAAGCTGTCCCCAGCAAGCCCCAGGCCCTGGTGGTTTTATAGGTGATTCCTCCCACACTTAAAAGGAAACACTTAACTTCCCCTCTTGCAGCAAACAGAAAAAGAGTGAAAGCTGCTAGCTTAGTCAGAGGCTGGTGGAATGACTTCCTGTATCAGTGAGAATTCAAGAAATTCAAATTCTGGACTCATTTTCCTTCAGTTAGGATCTTAAATGCAGAATTCTAGCCAGACAGATCCAATATATTTTATCGGATATATATATTTATATATATATATATAATATATATATACATATATTATATATATATATATATTTTAAAAATAACGTTTCATGTGAAGGGGATGGTCTCACCGCAGCGCGGATGTACTTAATGCCACGGAACCGTCCACTTAGATGCGGTTCGAGTGGGAACTTTCGCATTAGTGCCTTTTACCCGTAATAAAAATGTAGTTTTTTTAAAAAGACGAGTCATGATCCATTGGGTGTTATTCCAGTAATGCAAAGATGGTTCAATATAAAAACACCTGTTCTTCTCATTCACTACGATAATTGGCTAAAAGAAAACAACAACAACATGATTATCTGTTTAATAACTCAAACACTTAAAATATTAACAATAAAAAAATCTGCCAGGTTAAAAAAAAAAAATCTGTACTCACTTCTTCCAAGCAACAAGATCCTCCTCCCAGCCCTCTTAAATCATAGGAATGACATTTGCTACTTTTGGATGGGCGGCCCAGTTCTGTTTTGCCGTTGACGTGGAACCTCTTGTACAAAACTTTTACCATATGAAGCTTTTGTTGGTGTGACGTTCCATTGGAAACCTTGCAGTTCTTGAGTCTTTATGTTTATTTCTATGTTTATTTTAAAGATTTTATTTATCAGAGAGAGAGGTCACAAACGATACGGAGGGGCAGAGGGAGAGGGAGAAGCAGACTCCCGCTGAGGGGGGAGCCCGATGGCGGGGCTCGATTGCAGGACCCTGGGATCATGACTTGAGCAGAGGAGAGAAGCCTCATCGGCTGAGCCCCCAGGCGCCTCCTGAGTCTCTAGGATGTAGGGGAGAAGGGAACGTGCTGTGGAGTCTGTCCTTCGATGCCAGCTGTCCCACCTCTGCTTGTTTCCTCTTGTGGCCTGGATGTGGTATTAGGACTGGAAAGAAGTGGACCCCATGTTGGACATTCCAAGGTCTATGCTTGTTACTACTTTGGCCTGTGTATCTAGTCTTGGAGGAAACAGGGACTAATGCTAAGAACACTGAACATTTATAGATACTGTGTGCCGTACACTATTTCAGATCTTTTACATAAGTTCACGGACATTCCCCGGTTCTCCTGAGATTGGGAGCCAGGGCGGAATCCTGATGGTCTTGCTGGGGGTTGTACTTCTGATGGCTGGAACGGGGCCTGGTATGCAGTGGGTACAGTATGTATCTGAATAAACGGAGACGCCCTTCTCATTTTGCAGCCACTCATATGCAATCCATGCCTCATCATCCCCATTTTCCAGATTAGCGCCCCGAGACAGAGGTCAGTAACCTCACCCAGACTCCCAGGCGAGGAAATGCCCAAACTGGGATTCGAACCCAGGCAGTGAAGCGCTAGTGTTGGCAGTGTAAACATTGCCTTATCTTGCTCCTGGCTCCTTGAAGCCAAGCACTTATTTTTTTCTGCTGGTGAAGTCATATGGGACTGTTCTGATCTGTCTGTGTCATCCTAGAGAAGCCCTGAAGAAAATGAAGGATGTGTATGAGAAGACGCCCCAGATGGGGGACCCTGCCAGCTTGGAGCCCCGGATCACGGAAACCCTGAACAACATCGAACGGCTGAAATTAGAAGTGCAGAAGTATGAGGTCAGGGAAGACCCTGGGGAGGGGTGGGGGCCAGCGGGCCTAGCTGAGTCACTTCCTGGGGGGGCGGAGGGGGGACGGGGACAGGGAGGTGTTGGGTGGGGGTGGGGCTCCAGCTGCTTCTCATCACAGCCCTGGGTGTGCATGGGTGATCTCAGGAAACCTCCAGTCCCAGAATGGGCTGACCCCACAGCCTGCCCTGGAATTGACCGTGTGACTCCCTCCTCTCAGGCTTGGCTGGCAGAAGCCGAGAGCCGGGTCCTGAGCAACCGGGGGGACAGCCTGGGCCGCCACACCCGGCCTCCAGACCCCCCAGCCAGCGCGCCCCCAGACAGCAGCAGCAGCAACAACAGTGGGTCACAGGATCCCAAGGAGAGGTGAGCGTGGAGGCTGGACTGGGTCCGTCCCCAGGACCTGGGAGGCCTGTCCTGACCTGCTTCGCTCTCCCCACCCAGCTCTGAGGAGCCCCTGTCTGAGGAGGGCCAGGATGCCCCCATCTACACGGAGTTTGACGAGGATTTTGAGGAGGAGTCGGCATCCCCCATAGGGCACTGTGTGGCCATCTACCACTTTGAAGGTGAGGCCTGCGTGTGGGTCCCATCGCCTGCGTGGGGGCAGGGTGGTCTTTTTGGCTGGGCTGTGTTTCCCTTCACCGGAAGCAGATCTGAGCCCGCTGCTTCTCCCACGACAGGGTCCAGCGAGGGCACCATCTCCATGGCCGAGGGTGAAGACCTCAGTCTCATGGAGGAGGACAAAGGCGACGGCTGGACCCGGGTCAGGCGGAAACAGGGAGGTGAGGGCTATGTGCCCACCTCCTACCTCCGGGTCATGCTCAACTGAACCCTGCCACAGGCGGGAAGAAGGGGGCTGTTGGCTGCTGCTTCTGGGCCACGGGGGGCCCCAGGACCCACGCACTTTATTTCTGCCCCCTGTGGCTTCAGCTGAGACCTGTGTAACCTGCTGCCCCCTCCTCCCATCCCACTCCTCGTCCCAGAGGGACCCGCTGTGCCTTCCATCATTGATGTACATACTCGTGTTTCAAATCTTTTCTTCTTGCCGCTGGGCTAGGGCCATTTTGTTTTATATAAAAAATTCTATAAAGCTTTCGGAGTCTGTGCCTTATTGGTAAATTTACAACCTGGGTTGGCATATGCAAATGCCAGCCTCCTTCCTGGCCACAGAGGGAATGAGGAAGGGGAGGTAAACTTGGGTACAACTTGGACAAAACTTCCCCAGAATTGGGTGCTTGTCTGTGACTTCAGTGTAGGGAGAAAAGCACCAAACATCCTTTCTGTGTTTACCGCAGCTTTACTGAGAAAAGGCAGTGTTGAGCACCTACTGTGTACCAGGCATTCTCCACCCATGATATTTGAACACTGAGCTTTAATCCCTTGTGACAACCCCTGAAAAGTACACAGCCTCACTTTTATGTTGAAGGCAGGCACAGAGAGGTTGGGCCATTTGCTAGAAGTCACACAGCTCATAAGCATTTGCATCTGGCTTCTGAGTAGGAGATCTGCAAGTTCTCTTACCATTAAGGGTATATGTTCCCCATTTGTAAGATATATGCTTGGGGGTGGGAGATGGGATAGGGCCTCCAGACACCTGGGTTTTCTAGTGTGGGGGAGGAGGCTGTCCCTCACCCTAGGATCCATGTACCTTTTGGGGGAGTGGTGTGGGTTTTTGCAAATCCCCCCTTCCCCCTTGTGTAAGGCAGAATCTGGGTTCCCACTGCGCTTGGCTCTGTGAACAGCTTGGGGCAACTTCCTTGGTGTCTGCAGGGGGTTTCCATAGCCTGCCTGGGTGTCCCAGTACGAAGAAGGGGGTCTGTGCTTTCAAACATCCGGCTCCAGGCGCTGTGAAAGGACACTGAGGACGCGCTGGAACTTCTCTAGACGTGCGGCTTGTGGCGCCCCGACTCCTCGGCTTCCCCAGAGGAGCCGCTGCACGAAGCCTGTGGTCAGGGCCTCCCTCAGCTGCGGGTTCGGCCGGAATCCTGGGGGCGGGGCCAGGCGGACTGGAGGCGGGGCCAGGCTCCGGCCTCGCCCCACCCTACACCTGCCTTCTGGCCTTAGAACTTTGTCCCAGCTGGGACGGGAGGGACTCTGCCCCGAAGCTCTGCACAACTGGGCGGGGTTGACGGGGAAGGGGCGCTCGGGGTCTCCGCAGGACTGGGGGTGGGGTGGCCAAGGGGCTCGGTGGAAGCAGGCTCTGCCAGGGTGCATGGGGGCAGTCCGTTCCAGTGCGCGATGCCGGGTGGGTGGGTGGGGGGGCCCTCAGGGGCTGTGCCTGGGGACGGAGCCACTTGGGAGGCAAGATTTGGAGTCTGGGCTGCCCAGTGCGACACATTTTGTGGGGAGACAGAGCCACGTTGGAGTGAGAGGCGTGCTTAGGTCGCCAGCGAAAGCGGAATAAGCCAGGTTGGGGATTAGGGAGGCTGGGCTGCCCCAGGACTGGAGGAAGGGTTTGGCTCTGAACGCAATGGCGGGGGAGGGGGGGGGTGGGGGGGGGGGGGGGTAGGGCGCTGTTCTACCAGTTGAAGGACTGACTCATTTTGGAGAGAGCTAGGCATTGTTGGAGGGATCGAGATCCTCTGGGGGCAGGGTCGTTTCAGGTGGGAGCTGGAACGGGGGTGGGGGCCGGGAGTGGGACTCTGTGGACGTGGCTCTGGGGCGGGGGGCCAACCCTTTCGGGGTGGAGAGCACTATTCCTGTCAACACTGTTGGCTGCGACTCGGACTCGGGGTGAGAGCTCCCCGGGGGCCGGGCCGTCCCGGCTTGGGTGGGGCTCCGGGAGGCGTGGCGGGAGGCTCTGGTGCCTTGCCTGGTGGGCTTTGGGGTACTCGGTTAGAGCCTGCGGGGTGCTCGGGAAGTGGGGCCTTCTGGCAGCCGGGAGCAGAGGGGAGCACTCACCTCGTAGGCGCCGGGCTGCTGCCTCACGAAACTTGGGCGCGTCCCGGGCCACCTGACGCGCCCGGTGCAGGGTGCGCAGCAGCCGCTCGCAGCTCTCGTCTAGCGGCCCCGGGAGTTCCTCGCCCTCCAGCAGGCGCACGGCCGGTGCCACGTGCGGCAGCGCCACCTCGCCCGGCTCGCAGGGGCCTGTGCGGGGAAGGGCTCTGAGCTAGGCTTGGGGCCGAAGACGCGGCCAGGGTGAAGAGGGTGGGAGACTGGGTCGAGGCGGACCGTAGCAGCAGAAGCCCAGAAACACTGGTTCCAGCCTAGCACGGAGCAGGCCCGGGTCAGGGCGAGAACTGGGGCGGGGGCGGGGCCTAGGGTTCGGGCCCAGGGACCTAGCCGGACGCGAAGGGCGGGGCCTCGAGCGAAGAGGGTGGAGCCTATGGTGAACTGACTGGACGCGCGGGGCCTAGAGCGGGATTAGGATTCCGTTTAGAGCTGGTGTGCGGCGCTAAGGGCTGCCACTCACCGGCGCCCTCATCCAGTGCCCGCATCAGCGGCTTCAGCTCCTGCTCGAAGGCCAGCGCCGCCTCCGTGTGGCTCCTTCTGAGCTGGCGCCACGTGCGTTCCAGCCGGGACACCTGAGGGAGGAGCCCTGAACATGCTGTCTCTTCCCTCTTCCCCATCGCCTGCCCTCGGGCTTCCTCCTCATTTCTGCTCCCCACGCACCTGAGGCATGAGCAGGGCGCCCATGACCGCGGCCAGTCCAGGCAGGTTCCCAGCCGCCCCGGGCCGCAGCGCCAGGGCCAGCTCCACCAGGCCCCTCAGGGTGGCCGCGCGCTCCTCCAGCGGCCCCGCGCAGCCCAGCACGGCCAGCGCCCCAGCCAGCGCCAGCGCCTCGTGTCTGTGAAGGTGGAGATCGAGGGTCTGGGGGCAGTGGAAGGTTTGTAACTCGGAGGTGAGGGGCGTGGGGGCGGGGGGAAGCTTTGCCTATCTCCCCTCCTCCCTGGGGGTCCGTGAATGGGGGGAGGTTTGAAGGCCCTGGGGATTCCAGGCGGCTGGCTCACCTTTCCAGAAGTTCCAACCTCAAGCGATGCCCATGGGGAAGTGTGAGCAGCTCCAGGCCAGAGGCGACCCCCATGGCACACCGCTGAGCCTTGGTCACTCCTAGGAGGCCTGTAGCCTGGGCGGGGGGGGGGGGGGGGGGGGGGGGGGGGTGGTTAGTGGCGAGGTCAGCTGACAAGAATGAGTATATGGGTGTGAGGTGCTGTTGGGCCTTGGCCTGGCCTCAGCCCCCGTCTGGGGAGGAGTGGCCCAGTAGTCGACCCACCTGGCAATCCGCCAATAATAGGTGCAGGGCCGTGCTCCCAGGATGGTGCTCCAGGAATAGGTCACGGAGAGTACTCAGGACTGTCGGTTCCAGGGGCCGATTCTGGGGGCCCAGCAGGCAGAAGGGGTTGTTAGGGGGCCAGAAAGAGACCTCGGCCTCGGGTCTTGCAAAATTTCTGTTCTCTTCCTCCTCTTCCTCACTGGCTTCCCACCATGGGGCCTCTGTCTCTGGGCCTGTGTGGCCCAGAGGGGTTCCTTGGGCACAGGGCACTCGGGGCACCAGCTCACAGTATGTTGGGGGGCGTTCAGATGCCTCACGCAGCATCAGTGAGGGTGTTCGAGGTGGTTTGGTTGGTGCCTTGGCATGAAGCTGCCCATCGGAGGCTCTGAGGCTGTCAACAACGGACCCCAGAGGAGGCGGCGTCTTCAGCAGCACGGGGTCACTACCCATCCGAGGGAGGGCACACATGGGCACAGCGGAGGCTCCTAGGGGTCAAACAAGACGGAATGAAGGGGGTACACAGAAAAGATAGCTGGATGGGGTGGGCGGCTGGATGGGTTACCATCCCGCCCCCAAGTCAATAACTGTGTCTCTTGGACTTACAACTTCATCTATATAAATGCTACGCACTTATCAGTGGTCTGAAAATGAACTTTCTTTAACACTTAGGTATGAATTGTGAACACCACAGTTTAAATGTGAATTCTTTGTTTGTTGCCCCTCTGACGTACAAAACTAAAATAGAAAAAAAATTATTCAAAATTCACAAAACTCCAAAAGCATCGAAGAAACTACACTTATCAAACTTTCAAATGAAGTCTGTGGCATGGTTGCTTCTGAGGTTATCAGAACTTAAAGCTGCATCCAGACTATTGGGAGATGCTATATTTACCAGCCATATAAATAGGCCCGCTTATAGGGACTTAAAACCTTCCCATGGTTCTAGCTCATTCTGAGTGAAGGCCAAAGTCCTCAGAGTAGAAAAAAAAAAAGTTCAAGTTCTTGTTTTGGCCCCAGAACCTTTGCACTGGCTGTTCCTTCTACCGGGGTCACTCTTACCTCCCCAGATAGTCACATCATTTCCTCCTTCACCTCTTTCAAATCTTTCTCCATGTGGCCTGTCCTGACAACTACTTAAAATTGTAATACTCCCATCCCTCTATTCCTAATCTCCCTGATTCTGTTTTACTTTTAACTTTTACCCTAAAGCAGACTCATTTTTGTTGTCAATGTCCATCTTCCTCCAGTAGGATGTTGGAACCACCGGGCAGAGGTCTTTGTCTTTCTATTGAGTGATACATCTCAGCACTTAGTACAACAGCAGGCAGTGAGGGTTCATGATGAATGGGGGGTGGGGAGGCAGGGCAGATGGGGCAGGGAGAGCATAAGGAAAATCCCCTTTTAGGTAGGATGGCTAGGGTCAGCTACTTTGAGGAAATCAAGTTAAATGAGAAGGAGTCAGTCAGGAAACGATTAGGGGAATGGGTTTTCCCATGACCAGAACGGCAAGTGCAAAGACCCTGAGGCAGGAACAAGACTGGTTGGAGTCGGGTGCCTGGATGGCTCAGTCATTAAGCATCTGCCTTCGGCTCAGGTCATGATCCCAGGGTCCTGGGATTGAGCCCCGAGTTGGGCTCCCTGCTCAGCGGGAAGCCTGCTTCTCCCTCTCCAACTCTCCCCCATCTTGTGTTCTCTCTCTCAAATAAATAAATAAAATCTTTTTTTTTTAAAGTCACCCATTTTTAAGCCCCTACAAAAGTGTCTGTGGATTTCTTAATCACATGACAATTTTGAAAGTCTTTTTTTTTTTTTTTTTTAAGATTTTATTTATTTATCTGACAGAGAGAGAGAGAGGGAAGCAGGCTCCCTGCTGAGCAGAGAGTCCGATGCAGGACTCCATCCCAGAACCCCGAGGTCATGACCTGAGCCAAAAGCAGAGGCTTTTCGGGTGCCCCGAAAGTCTTTTTTTTAAATGATTTTATTTATCTATTTGACAGAGACACAGCAAGAGTGGGAATACAAGCAGGAAGAGTGGGAAAGGGAGAAGCAGGCTTCCTGCAGAGCAGTTAGCCCAATGCAGGGCTTGATCCTGGGAGCCTGGGATCATGACCTGAGCCGAAGGCAGATGCTTAGTGACTGAGCCACCCAGGTGCCCCACAATTTTGAAAGTCTTATTGTCTCCAGTTTCCAAGAGATTAAGTCATCTGTGCCGTATCAGTCAGGCAGTGAGTGGCAAAGCAATCTTGGGGCCCTGTGCTGTCCTGGTAGACCCTTACCTGGTTCAGAGTGGTCTTCTCTTGACCGCCCCATGTGCTCCAAACCTGCGGGCTGACTGTCACTCCGCTTCCTAGCCCTGGGGGACAGAGAAGAGGGAGATGTGTAGTCCCACCCTGAGCAGGGCAGCCCCCACCAATGCCCAGAAAACCCTCTATCTAGTCACTCAGCACCAGCAGACCCCAATCAGGGTGCTCTATCCCAGGGGACACCTGACAGTGTCAGGAAACATCTTTCGGTTGTCACGACTGGGGGTGGGGTGGAGAGGACTCTATAGGCATCTAGCAGTGCTCAATGTCCTATGATGCACAGCACAGCCCCTCCACCCCCCCCCCCCATCAATCCAGGCCCAAATGTCAGTATCAGTTAGTGCACAGGGGGGTATCAGTGTCATTGGTGAGGTAGAGAGCCTGTAATTACCTGGGCAGCTCTGACCGAGCTGGGCTCTCTAGGAGGGTGTCCTCACTAAAACTGCGTCGAATGGGTCCTTGCCGTATCACAGGTCTGGAGGCCACAGCCCCCGTGGCCCGGGACAGTGGACGCTGCCCGGTCACATAGCTTCGAACCAGGGAGGGCAGGCTTGGGAACCGTTCATCCTCCAGCTGGAAGAGGGCTGAGGGCCGGCCTGGCCGGGGACGCAGGGCCACGTGGAGCACCTCGAAGTGCAGGGCTGAGCCCTGCCAGCGGCAGGAGATGACTGGGTGGCCCCCCCGGGACCCGGAGGCTCGAACCAAGAAGTCCCCGTCTTGCTGCAGGAGGCCCTCAGCCTTCTAGGGATGGAGGCCAGGAGGCAGGGGGCTTAGCCATCAGCCCAGATCTGCAGTTCTTGTGATTCCTCACCCCCACCCCCACACCCAAGAAAAGCCACCCCAGAGACCAGGTGGTTTCGCAGCAAACCATGTCCCGTTTTCTCATGGGCACACCTCTGGAATACATTTCCCAGGCTCCCTTGCAGTTAGTCGTCATCTGACACGATCTGGCCAATAGGATGAGGCAGAACCACTGCTGGGAATGTCCAGACCTGGCTCACACAGCCCTCCTGCACAATCCTACAGGTTCTGTCCCCTGCCTGTTAGGGGATGTCCCCCAAGGGCTTGTGGAAGGTAGAACCACAGGCTAGAAAGAGCTTGGGTCTTGACTGACTTCTGGAGCTCCACATTCCCCACTCCTCAACCAGCTTGTACTGTAACATGGACAAGCCCCAGAATATTGGCTGTGTTTAGCCAGGGACATCTCAGGGATGTTTGTTGCTGCTACTAGCTAATACTGACTAATGCAACATCCAACCTGAGTAAATGCACAAGGCTTGGTGCACAAATGTGGCTTCAAAAAGTGCCATTTGCCGGATCCTTCCAAACTGATTGCAGCCTGGAAATCCTGTTATAAAAATGTTCAGGCGGTCTTATGCCAGCTGTAGTGGCCGGTGTGGAAACGGACAGGGGCCACAGCACCAGAGGGAGGCAAAGTGGAGTCGGTGATGGGAACTGAAGACTGAAAAATCCGTATAGTGCACACATGTAGCCTTTCCTACATGCCAGGCCCTGCTGTGGGTGTAAAACATGAACTCATTTAATCCTTCACCAAGGTTAAGCAGTAGATACCATCATGCCCATTTTACAGATGGGGAGACCGAGGCCCAGGTAGGTCAAATACCTTGCCCAAGGGCATACAAAATATAAGTTGTGTGACTGGGATTTTTAACCACTAAGCAATAATGGACTCTCACAATTTGATTGGATGGCCAGGGTCCCAGGACTCCTGAGGGTGACAAATGAGTAAGATTTGGGTTGAGCGCGAGATGTCAAGAGTGCACAACACTGACTGAGCACTGACTGTGCGCCAGGGCCTGTTCTAGACCCTGGAGACACAGTGATGAATGAGGCCAAGGCTCTGCCCTGGGCTGTCCGGGGTTGGGGGCAGGTAAGACACGTGACAATGAAGCACAATGAATGAACATGAATGAAGAAGATAGATAATGTCTAAGAGTAGTCACCGAAGGTGATAAAAGAGGGAGATGGGACCCTGATGGGCGCCGGTGCCTGGGACCCAGATGGAGAGATAAGCAAAGCCAAGGAGTCCAGTTGGGGAGCGTGCCACGATACCAAGCAAGCTTCAAGACGGTCCCCAGACCCTCAGCCACCCCTTCCAATAGACCTTGACTGTAAGTCCCTCCTCCAGGACTCTAGCAGTCCCCAGAAGTCCCCAGTAGTTCAAGGGTGGGAGAGGTTCCCTATCAGAAGTGCTGAGGCCCTGCAGGAAGCAGAGATACCTGACGGGACAGGGGGCCATGGTACCAGGGCTGGCTGGCAAGGTCCTCTCCATCCTGTAGCACCTGCATGGAGCTCTTGGGAGCAGAGGGTGCAGGGGCTGAACTCTGTACTTTCAACAGTCCTCAGTCTTCCACATCTGTAAAATGGGAAGAATTATTCCTGCTTCCTAAGCTTCCTGGGTGGCTGGGTCAGCCTTTCCATATTCCCCTTAGTTTTGGAGACAGTAGCCCACATCCTATCAACCGTAAAATGCAATTCCCTCTCTCTGTATTCTAACATACAAACATATTCTAAACATGTAACATATAAACATATTCTAAATATATAACATATAACCATATTCTAAGTTAAACAAGTTACTCATAAACAAAAATATATATACATTAGATTTTGTTTATATATATACAAGCTAGATTCATATACACACATTATATAAGTTGGGCTATGATTAACTTCAATTTAGAATTGGCTGTGATCTCATGGAAGCACTTGTGCATTCACTAGGATTCTTGCAAAAGGAGAAGACCTAGGCACTCCCTTCAAATGTAATGCAATTTTCATGCCGATGATATGATGCTACATTTCAGAGAAAACTCATTACCTAATTCACTCAAACTAATATTTATGGGACACCCAGCATGTGCCAGGTGCTGCTGGGCACCAGAGGCCCAGCAGTGAACAAAACAGGGGTATCCCTGCCCTTGGAGACCTGCTGTTCCAGTGGGGGAGACAGTAATTAAGAAAATAAATAAGGAGATGAAGGGGTAGATAGATCAGAAAGACGTAAATGGGAAAATAAAGCCAGGGATGGAATACGAAGATTCAAGTGGTGGAGATAAGATTTTCCATAGGGTGGCCGGGGAAGGTCTCAGTCAGTGACAACTTGGAGGATTTTGAGGGAGTGAGCCAGCTGGGCAGAAGAACATTCTAGGCCAGAGTGAATGTATTTGAGTAATCACTACCTTCTAATAAGTATGTGTACACACTCAAGAATTCCTAAGTTGTAAGAAAATCTAACCCATACGTGGCTTTCCAATGTAACACCATTTCTTAAAAAAATGTTATTATTTATTATTATATTTTAAAGTAAGCTCTGTGCCCAGCATGGGGCTCAAACTCACAACCCTGAGATCAAGAATCACATGCTTCACCGACTGAGCCAGCCAGGTGCCCCTCCGATGCAATACAATTTTAAGGACATTAAAAAGTCACATTTTGGGGGCGCCTGGGTGGCTCAGTGGGTTAAGCCTCTGCCTTCGGCTCAGGTCATGATCCCGGGGTCCTGGGATCGAACCCCGTGTCGGGCTCTCTGCTCAGCAGGGAGACTGCTTCCCTTCCTCTCTCTCTGCCTGCCTCTCTGCCTACTTGTGATCTCTGTCTGTCAAATAAATAAATAAAATCTTTAAAAAAAATTTTAAAAAAGTCACATTTTGTAGAAATGCCAGCAAACAGCAATTTGGCATTTGCAGATTCTTAAATTTTGGAGCCATGCGGTTTGTTATTATTATGGTCAAAGTCAGGTGTCTGACATTTTGGGACTCCTTTGGTATTGGCCGGGCCTCAGGCCCTGTGTGTCTCCAGTGTCTGGTGGAGAAGACCTGCCCTGGATGGGAGGGAAGCAGCGGGTCCGTTTCTCACTTCCTCCACTCCTAAGGTGTTCTGGGCCTGGCTGGGTGTGCAGGGAAATAGCATCAGGATTCTCTCATCCTGAGTCAGCAGGGCCTTGAGGGCCAGAAACAGGCAAGAAGTTCCCAGGCCCGCCCCAGGTGCTGCATGCCTGAACACCAGGTGTGTCTCCTGGACGCCTGTGTACTTCCTGTTTGTCAGCTGGGCCAGGCCAGCCTCTGCCTTGAGTCCCCAAACGCCAGCTTCCTCCGTCTTGTGCCCTCTTTAGTGGGCATGCACGTGGGTCACTCACAAGGCTCTGGTTGGTTGGAGGAGGGGAATTTGGATGAGGGGGGAGCGCAGAGTGGGTGCAGGTTAGACACAGGCCAAATAAACCCTCCTCCTGCCATTCATCCTTTGGAATAATTTCTGGATATTTGGGCAGGGGAGAGAGGAAGGGAGCAGAATCAGGAAGAGAGTGGGGTAGGGGCAGACATGGAGAAAAGAAGGGGGTTATTCATGCTCTACAGACCACACCTATGTACACACATGTGGAGGGGGTCAACCACCTACACATGGACACGTGGACACAGTTAGACACTGGTACTCAAACTTGACATTGAGCAAACACTGATTGGTTGAGCACTTACTATGTTCCAGGACCTATTCTTGACACTGGAGACACAGTGATGAATGAGATCAAGGCTCTGCCCTGTGCTGTCCGGTGGGCAAGACAAACAATAAATAGCACACAACGAATGAAGAAGATAAAGTCTACCGGTAATCACTGAAGATGATAAAACGGGAATGTGTGATAAAGAAGACTGGAAGAGGCAGCTACTGTAAATAACATATAGTCAGGAAGGTCTCTCCCACCAGGTGACATTGGAGCTGAGCCCTCAGTAAAGGGAAGGAGACAGTCACACAAAGGTTCAGAGAAAGAGCAGTTCCAGACAGGGGATGGGGGGGTGGGGTGGGGGATGGGAGGGTGGACAGCAAGTGCAAAGGCCTGGGGGTGAGACAGAGCTAACTCTTTTTACTTTACAGCATCAAGGAAGCCGTTGTAGCTGGAATGCACCGAGCAAGGAGCTGAGTGGACCGCGGCGAAGTCGGCAGGGAAGAAACCATTCTGGTGCACCCCAAATTCTCATTTTAGCGGGATGCCATGGGGGTTACGGAAGGGTTTTAAATGAGGGAGGGGTGCGATCTGGTTTGTGGTTTAAAAAGACTGTTCAGGCAAAGTGGGAACAGGGAGGATTTTCGTGTTGCACAGGAAACACGCTTTGAGATGCACTCCCAGGTACGCCCGGGTAAACGGACACGCGTGACGCACAGCGACCCAGTCAGGCACTCGGCGACCCTTCTACGTCCGCTGATGCTCTTGGACCTACACTCAGATTCTCCCTGAGAGCCGGTGGCCCCAACCTGGAAAAGAGAGGACTCCCCTCCCACAATAACCCCCGATTCTGGATGTGCCTGGGGCCCCTCACTCACCTGGGCCGGGACCCGCGGAGCTGGTAACTGGCTGGGGCCAGGCCGAAGCCGGAGGCTCTACGGCTCCGGGACCTCCCTCCCCGCCCCAGCTGGCCCCACCTTCTTCGGCCGCACCCGCGGGTTCCGGAACCTGTTCACCTGGCCCCGCCCCGGAGGACTCAGCCTCCGAAGGTGGCCTCTCAGGACACCCGCCCTCCTGTCCCCGCTCCACCCTCTTAGAACTCTTCTCGGCACTAACCACGCCCCCTTTAAAAACCACGCCCCAAAACCACGCCCCCTCGGGAAAATCCGTCTGCCCCTGCGTCCTAGAACGTCGCCCCGCCCCCATCGGGTGGCAACGCCCACACGCTCCTCGCCCCTCTTAGTCCCGCCCCTTAGCGCTCGGCTCCTCGGTTCCTCGCGGGCTGGTCCTAAGTACCCCGACCCGTTGGGACATGGGGAGGAGTGTTTCTCTCCTCACCCCCAGGGTTCCTCGCGGGGACAGAACAGCCCCTTACGGGCTCTCCTGCAGCGCGGGGTTGGCGGCTGCTGTGACGTAGAGGTGCGCTTCCTCCAGACCGTCCCCTTGGGTTTCCGGGAAGGGAACTCCAGTGCGCGTCGGGTTTTGTGGAGACGGATGCGGGAAAACACGATAGGCTTCCCCGTGTAACAGCAGGAGGGAGATGAGCTAACTCTGGGGGAGACATTCAGGTGGTTTCCTTGGTGGGAGGAAGGAGGTGGGAGGGGGGCTTCCATCACGATGCTTGGAGCAAGCAGGGAAAAGTTGGGGGAGTGGATCTGGAACAAGAGGGAGGACGGTCTAGCCGCGTTTATTGAGGGCTCTGTGTGCCAGGACCGTTCCGCTTCCTTGACCTGCTTCAACGCTTTTGATTTTTACATCGACCTCTCAGTGAAGTAGGTAATATTTCCATCACGCCCATTTTCCAGATGCAGAAACGGAGGCAGGGGGCAGCTAAGCCATTTGCCCAAGTTGACCGGCTTGTGAGTGGCGCAGACGGGATTCGTACCTGGAGCCCTGGAGCGTCATCCTGCCGTCCTCTCCTTCCTCTGTGCAGGCCCACGATCTCTGACCCCTACCGTGCTTCCAAATGGTGAAGGTTACTGTCACCCATTTTACAGATGAGGAAATGAGCGCCCCGGATGGTTGGAGATGAAAAGTTTCGGTGCCTGTGGGATCGCAGAGCTGGTGATTTCCAGTCTCGGCTTTCCCCCGCGCGAATGTGGAAGAGTCTCGAGGCTCAGGAAATGCTGGGGGGAGTATCTTTTCCTTGACCTCCTCCCACCTAGTTTTGGTACGGTTAGAGGGTTGGGCTGTGGGGGTTATCTCCACTGAAGGAGACTAGCGCCCCCTAGTGATTAAAGAATTAAAAAGAAAATCCAAGAGGGGTGCCTGGTGTGGCGGATGGGGGAGGGGAGTCTATGCAGCCTAGTGGGGTGGAGGTGGGGCGAGGGACCTTGTAGACAGAATGATTTCAGGTAGTGATGAGGTCTACGAAGGCTGTAAATGTTTGCCAAACGAATGGATTAATGAGCCACCCCCTCGAAGTCTATAAGGAAAGAGATGATGGTGGCCAGGGCCAGAGCCATACGTAAATGAATATGGGGGTGTCAGAGGTAGAGCCAAAAAAAAGCTTCCAACCATTTATTTATTCATTCAACAAATACTTGCGGACCATGTATTTATGCCAGGTGCTGGGCACATATGAGACAGAGATTTCTAAATAGACAATAAAGAAAGAATTATGATAAAATGTCAGGTTTGTTGGATGGTGTTCAGGGCTTCAGTGCAGGAGAGTGGGAAAGAAAGTCTGTGATTTGAAATGGAGAGATTTGGGAAGATTTCATGAGAAGGTGACACTGAGCAGAGGTGAGGGAGTCACTGTTGGAGGTGAGGGAGCTAGCCATGAAGTTGCTTGCCTAAGGCCCCAGAGCACCATGTGCAAAGGCCCTGTGGCAAGATTTAAGATTC